ACAAGACAGACTTTCTATTAAAATTTTCTCTGAAATAGATTACTTTAGTGTGTTAAATACATCAGGTAGTAAAAAATAAATTTGATCTGAAATGCTATAGAACATGGGACATGAGCTCTTGGCTCTTGGCTAATAGAAAATAGACGCAACATCCTTTTAGTGCCTGTCCTGTAGCATATTGAGCAAGATTATATGGAAAAGAATTTACTTATTTTGGGTTATGTTGTGATGCTCCCTAAGGGGTCATGGTTTGAAAATGAAGCCCTTTCTCATTCTTCTGATATTCCAGTACCTTAGAAAGATGCCCTTATAGCTGATGGGCAAGGCACCAGCTGATGGTTCTGGCTACAGTCCAAACATAATCCACCTTGAATGATTTGCCCTAGCGGAGGCAATTCTACCCTTCCCTACCTGTTCCCCCTTTCCTATCTCCTCCCCCTCATTTCCCTGCTCTTAATATATGTGGGTCTTAGCAGAGACTGTTTAGTCTGATAAAGATGACTAAATAATTGCTGCAAAGATAGCCTTTGCACATAGAGATAAACATAGATTCATCATAGAACACTTCAATGTGTCAGAGGGAAGAGTCAGTGCAGCCCATCAATAACATGCCAGCTTAATTGTCCTTGCCTGGTGCATCCTAGGAGGCTGAGCAGTGGGCAAAAAACCAGAAAGTCTTACAACAGTTACAAAGCCTTTCTTTCAGAAGTCGTGCAAAATTAGGATGAATTTTTTTGGCCAAAGGTTTTGAATGCCTTCTCATGAGAGAGCAGGTATGTGTGCATGTTTTGCCAATGTCTTGACATCTGTCAGATCCTTTAGAGTTGATTCTGATGACCAGAATCTGTCTTCTAGCCATTGGTCTTATGCCCACTGCCTGGTGTGTCCAAGCTAAGGTGATGTCACCTTTCTATTTTTCACCCCACATAACATGATCCTATGTGTGCAGATGAGGTGTTTGTTTCTGAGATACACAAATGTTTGTTTAAACCTGAATAGTTCATCTTCTGGACTTAACTCAGTGACAGATATGAAGAACCTAAGATCCTTCAGGATGAATTTCCCATTGCTCAACCTAAACACAGAGCTTGGAGAACAATTCCAAGTTTCAGACTTGTAGTTTAAATCATTAGGATCCTCTAATGACAGCACTGGATATGCCTTTGCAGACTTACAACCTCCTAGTCATGAACAGAAGATCCCAGGGCCCCTTTATCTGAATTGCCGAGAGTGCCCTATAAATGAACCTTGTCTATAAAGGGAAAGGCTTAAGAGCAGTGCCCTGGAATTCACTACCTGCCCCCAGCACAAGTAAGGGCTGCCTTGTCAGTGGGGGCATCCTGTTTTCTTCTGGAGGTACCATTGTTGATCCAGGAAAGGATTGAAACCCCAGATCCATTTCATAGCATGAGACTCTGCACCTGATCACCCACACCTGAGACTGGGGCTTTGCAATCTCCTTTGTTCCTGACCTGCTCAGCATGTTTCCTTGGTTACCTGGTTTTCCAAGTCCACTTCAGGAGTGCTCCCAGCCCTTTCTCTTTGATTCTCACCAGCTGTGTGCTTAAGACGTTCTCATGTTTTGGTACAAAAGTCATCAGCAGATCTCCCTGCCTGCTACTCTGTCTCCTTGTTGTGCATCTGATCGAGAGTCTTCCCATTTCAGTAGCCCCATGTGATGACGGTGGTGGTCGTGATGTGGTGCTGGCAGTATGGCGGCTAACATTTATTCAGTGCTTACTATAGTAGAGCCAACATGATTCTAATTTAATTTTCCTAAAAGCCTCCTTAGAAAGGAAGTACTGCTGGGGCACACAGACTACCTGAGTCAGACAAATAAGGGGAGCCAGGAGGACACCCCAGTGGTAAGGTTCAGCTCTCCCATTGTCATACCTGTAGTAACATGGTTAGAAGTTGGCGATGTACAGAGTGAAATATCAGCCCAGCGGTGCTCAAGAATGGTTTTTCATCCTGAAAACTGCAAACCTGTTAGGACCTGATAGACCTTAGTGGTGAGATTAGGGTCATCCTCCCCTATCTCCAATATCTTGGGAAATCAATCCTTGTTCACATAAGATGGGTTGGGCTATTGTTTTTATAAAAAGTGAGTTTGAGTTGCTCTGAAGTGCAAACTATTCTAATGAAAAGAGACCATCCAGTCCAGTCCCATAGCAAGCAGACTAAGGTGGATACCATAGCCGGCAGGTAACCTGAGGCCGTTCCACAAAACTCATGCTCTGTAGAGTCTACAGCTTGAAAATCACTAGCATAGTCCAGCTCTTCAACTATGGAGATGCGGAAGTTGAGGTTCAGCAATGCTAACGTGACTTGTCCAGGGTCACACATCACATTATTTAGAGTGTTGAGGAGAAGATAAAGGAAAGAGGAGACCTTTCCTAGAGAGAGGCACTGAGCTCCAGCATGCTGGTCTTCCTCCACTCTACTAGGGCAGGAAGAAACTAGGTGGTGATAGCAACCACGAAACAAACTCTCTTCCAACATAGCGGAACTCGTAGCCCAAGATGGCCCTTCCGGCCAGCTCTCGGCGTTGATGCGTGGTACTGTATTTGCAGGACGGTTATAGGGCTCACATTCAGAGAGCCAGGTCCTGGAGCAAGCATGCCTAGTCCTGTCCCTTTCCCCAGAAAACTGCTTGATTTCCTTCATTTTCTCATCTGAAAATGTGCCAACTTTATGAGGTTAAGGTGAGGATCTAATGAGACACTGCCTGGGAGTATCTCACGTGCACCAGGTGTGGATAGGGCTCTAGTGGTTGCTGGGTGCTGGGCTCATGGGAGTCGTGATGGTGCCAGGTGGTGCTGGCAGTGCTCACAGTTGAGGTGGTGCTGGTTACTGTGCAGGCTGCTTTGGCATCTGCCTGCTCACTTTCTGATGTTCGACCTCCTCCTGTCCTGTATCTCAGCTTTATGCTCCTGTGTTCGCCTTACTGAAATGGGAAAATGCTGTCATGCTCACTAAATGTAAGTTCTAGAGAGTTCTGGATTGCTGTAGATGCTCCCTGGCTTGCTCACAGTTTGGCCTCTGATTCTCTCTTCATGCCGAATTCTCTTCCAAAGAGTTTCTTGGCTGATGGTCTGTGGGCCCTGCCTAGAGGAGTCCTCAAGACATGTGCAGACAGGCCTTCCTCGTTACAACTGGAACAACTGAGAGACTCTCAGACTCAGAGAGCCCCCTTTCTCCCCCCCCCCCCAAGACTGCATGCACCACTTACTGCGAACTATTCTGGGGAAACAAACTGAAATAAATGAATGATTGGCAGAAGAATGTGGATGTGCTATGATGGGAATGTGTTGCTCGTTACTGTGGTTATCTAATAGGCTGCAGTAACTAGCCCAGGAACCTGGAAGAGCCTGGGGTCAGTGATGTAAAATGGGGCCACTGTAATGGGGGCTGCTGTGTGGGCATGCAGCTGGTCGCAACTTGGTATACCGAGAACCCGTTCCAGAGATAGCATAACTGACTTGAACATTTTTTTTAAAATTATTTTTGCAATAGCTTGGTAGCTAGAAATAGAAAATTAGTTTCTATAGCTAAAAATATAACTTTTCAAGTAGCATCAATATCTGTGGTTCTCAGACTGTAGTTTCTGGATCAAGAACATCAGCAGCCTTGGGGATTCAGTTGCAACGTCTAGGGTATCCCCATCGACCTACTAGGTCTTTGAGGTTGGGGACCAGCAATCTGTTTTGTGACATCCCCAATTCTTAGATGCCCAAGTCTGAGAGCCACTGAACTAGGACTTAACTGGTGATTTATTGCCAGACCATGGCTCTGATAGGAAGGTTTTTTGGTGGTGGGGAGGGAGGTTGCTCTTTACACCTCCATTATGTGCTGATTGACTCCTCTTTATCCCAAGGCTATGATGTCCAGGTAGGGGGAAGTAAGTGAATCTGGCCAGATAGTCTTTGATCAAAAAGCGTCTATAGTTTTTATCACTCCTTTTTTCTTAAAGGATTTTATGGCATATTTATTGTGGTGTCAAATATTGTCAATATAGTCATGAGCTTTTTATGATACTCTGTGTAATCTTTGAAAATATCCTGGAAGTTGGAATTTTAGGGGTTAATAATCCTGGGATAACCACTAAAGGGTAATTCTCAATTGGAGAGAAAAATATCATCAGCTTTATATAAACAGAAATGTGGGAGTTGAATATATGAAAGCCTTTTCTGGGATTTTTCAGGATTTCAAGGGGGAGACAAAAGTAACTGAACCCCACATTCCATAAAGTGGTAGTTGGACTAGAGTGATGTACCCAGGGGTTAACAATGCTAGAACATGTGAGTGAGCTTAAACTCTTAGCAGATAGGGTACATTAAATAATCATTTCAGCATACTTATTGCTAAAAGTTTTTAGTTTCTAAAGGAAATAACAGGAACTCTGGGATTTACTGTCAGGAAGCCTGAAATTGAAAATAGACTTTACTGAATCCTGTAGCTTTAGGCAAATGTCTCCACTTTCTGGGCTATACTTATTTGGCTTAAGGATTTTTATTTTAATCTGTAAAAAAAGATGGGGTTTTAGATGAACAACTTCTGTCTTACTGCCACTAAAACAATAATTATTATGTACACGTGACATCAGAATTTAGATTGGTCAAAAGAAACTGTAGCTAGATTTTGCTAGTCTGAGCAAATTTTGTACGCTTTTTGAGAATCTTGTAAACTTTAAAGAATAAAGGTATAGAAAAATGCAGCAGATTAAATCTTTTGAGTTACTTACAGGGCAGGTTATTTTTGAAGTTAGAATATGGGTTTTATTATGTTTTTGTTCTTTAAATAAATAACTGACTTTGGTTGGTAGCAACTTTTCTTAGTATTTACATAGTAGGCAGATTGAAAATGTTACTGCTTAGTTCGTAGAATTTACAGGATTTGCGATGCTCACAGATATTTGCATTTTACTTAGGTTTGACTGCTTTGTTATGTTTTTTAAATGTAAAGTTTAATGCTGTTAAATTTGAAATACTTTCTTGCAGTGATCCATATGTGAAACTGTCTTTGTACGTAGCAGATGAGAATAGAGAACTCGCTTTGGTTCAGACAAAAACAATTAAAAAGGTAAGTCTTCATCCTTAATTGAACTTCATTTAGTCATAATGTAATCCAGTTAAACTAAGTATTTTGGCTCTGTGTAAGTTTATATTTAAATTTATGGTGGAAATATTTTTCACTTTAAGTTCTCTCTCAGTATTAAAATCTATAAATTAAGCATATCAAAACTTTTCTGAATTAATCTGATATTGCTTCTGGCTTTTAGTTAAGTGACTATACAAACACTTAGTTTTAATTCAGATTATATTAGAGTATACCTATAAAAACAGTTCTGTAAGTAGTGTTCCATATTGCAATTATCCCCTCTATAAAGACTAGAGTAAAACAAGAATTTGCTCTTGTTGGCTTGTTATTTTTCTAAAGAAATTTAAAGTACATTTATTTGAAAAGGACTTGTTTTATGGAATTGGCAAACACAAAAGGAACAGTGTAACTTGAAATAAGTATTACCCATATAAAGAAAAATGCTTTCTTAAAAACAAAATATACTACTAATAAATTTAGTTGTGTCTCTTCTAAATTTCCCTTCACATGACTTCATGACAGGTTTGTTGCCATAATTATACCTTAATCCACTATGTGCATATTTTTATAGATGGATGGATGGATAGACATAGATAGATAGATAGATAGATAGATAGATAGATAGATAGATAGATAGATAGATAGATAGATAGATAAAATAGAAACTTATTTATTCCATCTCTGGGCCATTTATTGAGATGCATGTTTTCTATGAAATGTATTACGGCATCTGTGCTTTAGTATTATTTATAGATAACTATTTTCCCCTCACCACCTTTGGGGGGCAGATAGTCTAAGAGTTCATGTGATAAGCATTTCCTGGAGAGCTGTGGTGGCTTTAAAAAAAAAAAACACAACAACTATTGTCCAGACGCCGGGGCTCGGTGACCAGGTCACTTTGTGTAAGGATCAGCCATTCTGGCGCGTCCTCCACCTGGCATTCGGACTGGCATTAGAAATCTGTTTTGCAAACAGGAGCCCGCGTTTAGATGAGTGGGGAGGATTTGTGGGAAGGACGGAGGCCATTGTTCTGTTAGCTGCTGTCACGGTTATCGGGGGAGCCAGGCTCTCTCTGCCCTCCGGAGGCAGGCGGGGCACCAGGTCGCCAGCTGGAGGCGGAGGGGAGCAGAGAACCACTGCCAGCGATCTGGGATATTGAGCTGTTTTTTCCTGGGAGGGGAGGCCCCTCTCCGCCCTCTCCTCGGCAGAGGGTGTAGCTGGAGCTGCGCTGCTCTGCCTTGCTGGCAGCCAGCCTCCTGGTTAGTATTTCTGTGCTCACGGTTGAAGAACGGCTTTCATCCGCCTCTCCTCGTGGCTTGATCTTTCGTGTGTGTTGTGGTCTCCTGTCATTGTTTTTGTCCCTCGCCCCCCCATCATTTGCATTTTGCACCCCTCCATTTCTCTGGAGCAGCAGCCCTCGGCCTGGGCCAGCTCCCTCTCCTGGGCAGCGGCTGCCCGCCTGCCTCTCCTGCCTCTCCCTTCTTTCTTTCCCTGCCCTCCTCTCCCTTACTCATTACCATCCCGACTCCATTCATCCCTAAAAGTATAAAGCCCATTGTTTAGGACTGGGTTCCCTGTGTGGAGCTGTGGGTGGGGAAAGTGCTGGGTATTTTTAATGCCAGCTCAGTAGTGTATGAATTCTTCCTTTTTAAATTTCTATGTGCATTTTGTTGTATACATATTATTGCACTAGTGTGTGAAAGGAAATCGCCAGATAAAGACAAATGTCATTCTGATTTAAATATACCTGTAGCCACTGGTGAGGTTGGGGCTTTTCTGTCTAAATTTTTAGATAGAATTTGAATGAGGGGTGCTGATTCCAGAGTATTTGCAGGTGCAGCGCACACCTAGGTATGGGTGTATCCTTTCATAGTACTGGCTGTACCCCAGTTTCGGAGTGTGTTTGGCAGTCGTCCTTTGTCCCTGCTGAGGACAAAAGTGTCCATTCCATGTCCTTGTGAGATACAGATTTAAATCAATTCATATGGAAATGGGTGGATGAATGGATAGAGAGGATTGGAGGGTAACTAGATAAATATTTTCAAACCTGGTTATTTTGAAAAAATAGAATTGACTTTGGCTTATCACCAACAAGGGTTTTGTTTTATTTTTTGTTATATCATCTGGTCACCAGTACTGTTCTTTATAAAATGGTCTTCAGGTTTCAATATTTGTATCAATAGCAAAACAAATTCATCTAATCCCACCTGCTTCTTTGCTCCCCAGGACAGATTTGTAGCAGGTTGAGGAAGTGGGCAAAGCTCATTTCCTTCTTGATAGAATAATCATATCAATGTTAATTTATTAAAGGGTATCCTTAGATTTTAATGATGGCTGTTGGTTAGATCCCTGACATTTTTCTGGTTGGTATGGTTTCTTCTACATGAATCATCGGTTTCATAACTAACATCCCTTCTGCATTTTCTTTGGTTTATAGAATAGTCTCAAGTAATTGACTGAATGCTTAATATATTGCCATTTTGAAATGTCTAATCTATTTTTTTAACTAACAAAATCTGTGGGCTACATTGTACTAGTGACTATTCATGTTCAAAAACTATAAAAGATATTCTAATTTCTCTTCCAGACGCTGAACCCAAAATGGAATGAGGAATTTTATTTTAGAGTAAGTTCTTCATTTTTTGATATTATATTTGATAACCTGACAATGAAAAACAGATTGTTATTGAGTGAAAGCTATTTTTATTGTAAAATTCTTTTTAATAAGAGGAATACCTGGCTGTCCTAAGGTGTCCCAAATTTCCAGACTCTGGATAGTAGTAAAATATTGACCTATTTCATTTGAAGATGTTTTAGGGAAATCAAAAGAAAGTTTTCCAAAGAGCACATCTTAGCTTTCCTACTCAGTTTTTTCTTTAAAACTTAAGTAAAATATAACTAACGCAATAATTTAATTATTTCTATGAGTCATGGGTCATGAAATGTTTTAGAGAAAGAATAAACAATAGAGGCAAATGACTAAAAAGGAAACCTAAAAATTATCAGTCATATTTGATTAAGAAGGAAAATTTTTTTAATTCAGGTGTTCTCTGTGAGTGTATCTATGTAGGAATAAAATTGCTTCTGATGTTTAAATACCACTGAATCCAGTAACAGTTCTTCAACCATTTATACTTAATATGTAGAAATGACTGAATCCGTGAACTGAAGGAGATTACTCTTTATGAGTTCTAGCGGTTGCTGCTAGTTTTTTTCGTACTGAAATTTTAGATCTATTAAGACACGCAGTTACTTAATGAAAGTGGGTTTTTCTCCCATTTCAAAATGGATATATTTTAATTCTGTAGTCGGTATTCAGTAACGTGACCTCTAGAAGTCTCCCAGATGACATCTTATGATCAGTGTTGCTTCCCAGAAACCACGCTACCATTAGGCCCATTGTAATTTCCCTAATTCCTTTTAATCATAATAGTATATTTTTGTGCCCCAAACTTGGATCGGTCTACATATGACCTCTTCTCGTGTGTCCACATTTGGATGGTGGTATTGGTATACTAACACTTTGTGAGCGCCTGCCTACAGCCTCTACTACTTCTTGGTGAATTACTTCCCAAAGGACTGAACAGTTGACCCGCAGGTAGATGTGACTGGCCCTTCGCTAATTCTCAAGTAAAGCTTCCCACTTGTAAAATACCAAGTTACAAGATCCTTTCAGAACATTTCTGTAAAACTCAGAACCTACAAAATTTTTTTCAATTACTATTGGCTTTATGAATATGTAAATTGGATAGCAAACAAGGCTTTTATTTATTCGACATCGTTCACAAGTGTCTGTTATAGCCAGTTCCTTCCCCGGAGTGTGGACTCACTGGCCAGCAGCCTTCTCTGGCTGCTGTGGACTCACTGGACACCAGCCCTCCCCATAATGTCTACTCCGTCTCTAGGCTGGGGGTTGGCCAAGGGGCCAGAGTGCAAGGCTTGTCCTCTGTGCTTGGCTCTGCTCACCTGCTGAGACAATGACACCTGAAGCAACATTGCTCCAGCCTTCCCAGCCTCGGAAGAGCCCACTGTGGACTCACCTTCTCTGTGGGTTCCTGCCTCTGTCAAGGAGCAGAGAGGAACCCTCCCTTGGTGGGATGGGTTCCAGACAGGGCAGGTGATGATGCAAATGCAAATGCCTGTCACTGTGTCGAAACCTGTTGGCACTTACTAAGTGATACTCGCGTCTGAATGGTGATCCTGCCATGTTGGTGAGGTTCTGAAAGAGTCAGAAAGAAGCAGAGACACTGAAAGCCAGTAGCTGTGACATTGACCCCACAATTCTGGAAGAGGGGTGTTTTTTTTATGCTTTGTCTCCCTGCGGCATAGGCTCTGGGAACTGGCAGGCCAGATCTGGGTTGTGCTCTGGGCATTCCTGCAGGCTCAGAGTTCCAGCTCCTCATTTGGAAACTGGGGTGGCAGTTAGAAAACTTAGGGTTGTATGAGGATTCAATGAGAGCACGTGTTTTTGACATTTAATAAGGAAACAGTACCTTTAAAATAAGCATGTAATGGTAATAGATGACTTTTTCTATTGTCTTCATTATCTTTATTATTAATATCATAATTATTTGTGTTATTAATAGGTTTAGGAGATTTCCTCAGGCATAATAGGCCCTGTGAGAGTATAGCCAGGTCTGTAAGCATGGGGAAGCAATTAGGAATTCTTGAAAACTATTTAGAGTTATCATTCCTTGTGTTAACAAAGCAGCCAAAACATTTTCTACCAATATGCCTGGTTGCTAGATGTAGTCTAATATTGCAATCAATTACTGAAAATTTTAATTAATAGGTCCAGGATTTTTGTAACAGTAGATTGTTCTCTTTTCAAAATTGACTGGACACATTATAAAGCATTTTATCCTTTGAATTATTTATCCTGTAAGTTATTTCTGCCCACTTAAAATAATACGTTTTATGTTCTTTATAGGTAAACCCATCCAATCACAGACTCCTGTTTGAAGTATTTGATGAAAACAGATTGGTAAGTACATCTTGGTTCTTGAATTTTTGCTTTGTTATTATTTTTTTTACCTTTACAGCTCAATTTACTAAATAGGAATCATTTGGGTTTCATGTTAAGTTTTGAACAGAGACTACAATATTATGAAAAGAGATTGTTACATCAATTCAGTGTTTTTTAGCATGCTAAATTTAAATACATTCATTCAAGCTTGAGATATTTGGGGAACAATCTTCAACTATAATACTAACATTTCTTAGTTACCATACCATTCCCAGATGATATTTGCAACTCTGAACTGTGATACACAGAACAGTTCCCCACAGATATGGCAAGATTGGTATGCCATAAAGGTAGTGTTTGATTTATTTTTCAAAAAATGAATACTTAGAGCAACATTTCTTAATACTCTTATTTATATTGCACTTCTGACAGTATAGAGGCTCCCAAAAGATATTTTTGTCCCATTGCTAGTTTAATGTGCATAATTTTAACAATTTTTTTTATGTGGCTAGGAGAGAAAATGGATCTTTTGGATATATATGTTTTTATCACAGTTAATATTGGGGAAAGTCTCACCGGTGATACATCCAACTATATGTAATACTCTACTGTTGAGAACACAGAACTGTGGCCAATCTGTAAAGAGACCTCAGTCATGTAAACAAACCTTTCTAAACTAAAACACAGTGATTCATTCAATAGTTAATCTATGGTGACTTCTTTGGGAAAACAAAAATCTTAAGTAACAGTATATAGCAAAAAGTGAATCTGTAGTTAGCAAATGAAATTCTATTTTTAAAAGTGGTACTTTCTCATGCAAGAGTCTTAGAAAGTAGCTTTAAGCAACCAAAAGTAGGCCTGAGACATAAAACTGATGCATGCTTAATAGTTTACATGTTACATAAAAATGCATGCTTCACAGTTTACATATAGCTGTATAGTAGGTAGAGATCTATCTCTGTCTAACACAGACATAACCGATAGAACCAAGATTTCATTTTAGAATTGGAATTTAAAAAGCAAATCTGGCTGAAAGCATTTTGCCAGATTTTACTAATTAAAATGTTAAATACCCACAGCCAAGTGTTCCAGCTTTGAAGACGAACAACGAACATGAGAACATCATGTTCCAGAGTTTGAGATACATTCAAAAGTGGTGTTATAACCCAGTGTGGTTGGTTATTCTGGACCTGACCTTCCCTAGAATTTATGTAGACTGTTGTGCTTCAAAGGAATGTTCTTTCCTTCTCTCTCTTTCTCAGAATTCAAGTGAAGCACTCAATTTTTGAATAGCTTGAGATGAATAGATGTTTGCTCTAGAGATGCCTTCTAACAACTCGTTCAACTCCCTGCCCAGGCAACTGGTGTCCAGAGCCTTTATAGCATTCAAACCTGCTAGTAGTAGAAAGCCAGCTGCTGGTCTCAGTCTCAACCTTTCTCCCTCGTTATAGAACTTGGAAGTGTATTTATCTCCCATGCTTGGGATTAATTTCCTAAATTAGGATGCCAACAGATTCTGATCTACCATACTTATTCTATGAAAAATATGGATTCTTGGTGGCTTTGCATTGAACTTGCCATTTTCTACCTTGGGTGATAGTTAGTAGTACCAAATAACTAAATCACATTTGCTGTGACTAAGAAGTTCTTTTCTTGTTAAAATTAAGGAGAGGTTCTTCTTAGGGTACAGTTCTTAGCACTCCATGCCTCCCCGACTCCTTGAACAAGGCAGTGGTGGGACACGGAGTTTTCAAGGACATAGTGCTTACGCTCTATTTTCAAGTAGAATAATTCTCCTTCAGAGTGAAGATGGGGTCAGATTCCTCTTGTTAGGTGTGTTTTCATTCACTGTTTGACGTCTTCTCTTAAGAGAAAGTCACTATCTGTAGAATAAGTTTGCCATCTCATGATCTAAAACAAAGACTCTTATATTGGGGGACCCTTGCGATGGACCTAAACCAGAAAAGGTCTTGGAAGGCATTAAGAAACTTGATGTGAATACAGACTTCACCTGAAAACTCCCATGTTTCATGACCTCAGTCCCTGACGTGGCTACACAGTGGTGTCTCTCTGCCCCCTGAGCGCTGGGGTGTGGCTGTTAACCCAGCGAAGACAGTAAGCGACTGTCGTGGTTCCTGACAGTTCAGCATTAAACAAACAGGCTTCCGTTGCACTCACAGAGATCATTTTTGGCATTTAAAACACATGCTTTGAGAAAACAGGCTTGGATGTCTGTAAACACAGGGTTAATCCGCCACCCTCAACTCCAGAGCTGTTGACAAAGTCATGCTTTGTGGATTTTAAAATAAACTTTTTGTCACTCCTTTGCAGCTTGGTATTTTCCCCTCCTATTTTTTCCCCGCCCTCCAAAATAAACCTCTTTGTGAAATAACTGATGTTTCTGGATCATGGAAAATAGTTAAGCTGAAAACACAGAGGCTATCTTCCTGTTAACTACAAACCCAAGGACAGATTTTTGAACAGGAACTTCTGTATTTCATAGGTCCTTTCTGCAAAAGTAACCAGATTGCATGTTTGTATCTCAGCTGTGATAATATTGCTGACTTTTTATTGGGAAAAAGCTCCCAGCAGCACTTTTTCTGTGGTATTTAATTTACTACAAAAACTACATGTATACCCCTCTTCAGCTTTCTTTCCCTGGGGGGTGGGGGTGCCTTTTCTCCACCTAGCAGATGGGAGAGAATGTTCCCTCCAGCCGAGTTCCCTGTCTCTGGTACTTCCACGCCTGGCGATCATGTACGTGTGAGCTCATGCGACATAAGGGTCGCACACATGCACCTGCCTTGTAAACGAAAAGGCTTTTAGTAGCAGGAGGCATTACACTCACCAGCAGTGCTGTAAAATGTGCCCTCCCCCCTTTATCTATTTTGTCGCTTGTATATAGATCATGGTCGAATTATTTAGTGTTCAAGTGACCCTGATTCTGTGGGAGGTGTGGTTGTTTTATCAGTTTGCCTTCCGTGGTGATGGTGGTGGTGTGGGGATATCATAAATAACAGAGAAACCTCACATCAGTTCTGGCGACGGGTTTCCCTGCAGCCCGGGCTTGTCTCCTTGGGATTGCTTTGGCGTGGGGGGCGGGGAGCCTGAGCGCATTCCTGTGCTCCGCGCTGGTCCCTGGCACGGTCCTGAGCGCCAGGGCAGCGTCTGCCTGGGAACGCGATGCGTGCGGATTTAGACTGAAGGAGAGCGGCTCCAGGGTGTGCTGCCTTGTCAGCTGCGAGAGCTCCCTGCTGGGGCCACTCCTGTCTGATGGAAAAGCAGCAGCTGGGAAGGGTGCTGTTTCAGGCTCTTGCTGTTTAAAAAAGAGCGCAAGTGAGAGCAGGAAAGCGCCACCGAGCCACAAGCTGGCATTGGAGGGGGAGACCGCGGTCATGTGCTGGTGGCCATCCTACCCTCAGTCACAGTATGGATGAGAGCTTTTTGCTCTTACCCAATCATGCCTGGAATGCCGCTTGCCACTTGGGTTATTTCTGCTATCTGTCGCTCTCGGTGCCGCAGTGCTAACGGTTTGGCAGATGGGACACTTTTTCTTGGAGTTTGTGTCTTCGGTGTTTGACTTCTGGCCGCCCCGGGCTTGCCGCTCGCCCTCTCCCCGCCGGCCTCCTGGGCACCATGGCCCATCGGCTTCGGTTTCATTTTGGCTCTGGTCGCAGCAACACAGCCCCCGAGTCGGAGATCCTAGACCAGGAGAGAGAAGACGACTTTTTCATGGCATTCCACACCCTACCGCGGAGGAACAGCCCTCACCCCTTCGCTCAAAATGGAGGGGAGGATGGTGGCGGCGGCGGCCTGCAAGAAGGCGTGGGAGCGCTCAAGCGCAGCACGTCCATGTTTATCCCGCAGCTCCTGGGCACCATCGACGCGCGGCCCACCCGGAGCTCCTCTGTGCAGATCTCCCTGCAGCGCAAGGCGGCTGATGGGGCCCCTGACGGGTGCGGCCCAGCGGAGGGTGTGGAAGGTGATGTGGGCTGCTCGCCTCGAGGCAGCTGCTCGGAGACCCCAGAGCCTGGGACCCCTGAGCGCTCCCCACCCAGGGCAGCCCGAGCACCCTGTGCCCAGGTCAATGGCATGTGCGACCGCAGAGCGTGGCGCCCCATCACCTTCGAGGGCCGCGAAGAGGCCGAGCGGTCCAGTGGCGGGGTCCACATCCACCACCGGGCCTCCAGCGCCGATGTGCGCCAGGTGAGACTCATGCCCTTCGGGGCCGACGGCCAGAGTGGCCCTTCGGCAGCGGAGCCCAGGCGCTGGTCCTTGCAGCACGTTCCAGATGCTTCTGGAAGTACCGGGAAGCGGTGCTTTGTCTTCCAGCTGCAGCAGCCTTCACCGGGCTCCCTGGGGCCAGGTGGTGATTTCAACTTCGGTTTCACGGGCACCAAGGGGAACAGGTTGGTGAGGTATCCCCGTATTCGGCTGGAAAGGAGCACCTCGCACCCCACGCAACCGCGAGCTGAGCACACGAGCCCCTCAGAAGAGCGAGGGCCCTCCGGACCCCCAGAAACACCACCTCGGGGCCACAGGGTGGCTCCCGAAATCCACAGGACGAATTCTGTGGAAAGGACGCCACAGGGTCAAGGGCGCACCTTTAAAATCAGGCAAGATCAAAGTGCTGGGCAGCAACATTTCAGAATTCTTGTGACACGGGGTTCAGAAGACGCTCACCAGAACCCGGAGGAGAATGAGGCCACCAGCCCTGCTTCCACAGGACCTAGTCCCCGGGTAAGTTACAAGGCACGGCCGGGCCAAGGGGCTGATTCAAGCCCAGAAAGCTTAGTCGGCAGCTTGATTATCACAGACTTTATCCTCTTCCCTTCCCGGAGTGGCCCCACTTCAGCCTCTTTTTGCACAGCCTGGGTGTAGTGTTTGGTAGAAGTCCAGGAAAGTCGTTAACTTTTCAGCAGACACTGTTCCCCTCAAAGTCAAGTAACTGTTTTGAGACTACTCCTAATCATGCTCACCCCCCCTCCACCCCCCAACAACCCCCTTGGCGTCTCTGG